TAATAATATTATAATATTATAATAATATTATAATATTATAATAATATTATAATATTATTATACGCATAATATAATTGAAGATATTTATTTAAGAATTTTTCTCTATTCCACAGAATTGATAAGATGTTCTTCCTTATAATATCAGGGTTCTTTACACTCCTATTTGTGTTGCATATCTTTACAAAATATGGGAGGATAGGATATTTTTCTAGTCGAATTGTGGGACCAAAAGCATACCCCATAATAGGAAATTTATATCATCTTCAAGTTGACAATGGTAAATTTCGTCGGAAATAATTTTATTGAAAAAATTTTATCCGTTAACTTTCATTTCATCGATGCAGTTTTACTCAATATAAACATTTAATCAATATTTCAGAACAATTATTAGAAAAACTTTGGAAAATCAATAAGGAATTTTTTCCAATTAACAGATTGTGGTCATTATTCTTTTCATTAATAAGTATATTTGATCCAGAAGACGTCGAGGTAAATAATTTTAAGACAATAACAGAGTTAATTAAAATTTTTTTCTTTCTTTTACAATTTAAATGTTATCTGTCAAAATCATCTTATGAAAATCAGAATATATATATCTCGATCATAGATACTTTTGAAGAGTACGAGACATATGGAAAAAGCTATACCTTACAAATTCTTACAACCTTGGCTTTCTACTGGATTAGTAACTGCTGCAGGTTATAGTATGAACAAACATAAACTTAATATATTTGATAATACTTAACGACAAATGTTCCACTAAACAGGAGAAAAATGGCAACACCGACGAAAAATTTTAACGCCAACCTTTCACTTTAATATCCTTAAACATTTTCTTGTCATTTTAAACGAGGAGTCACAATATCTCGTAACATTACTGAAAGAAGAAGGAAGAGGAGGATCGATTATCAAAGATTTACAGGAATTTTTACCTGTACATACTTTAAACGTGATATGCGGTTAGTTAAATTAAATATAATTACTCACTGATCTTTATAAAAGAAAAATTATTTATAAAAGTTAATTTGTAGAAACGGCTATGGGAATCTCTTTAAGAGGAACGGACGAATTTGAAACTAAATATCGCCATGCCCTTCATGATTTCGCCAGAATAGCGGTCTATAGGTAAGTATTAATTCTTATATTAGAAATAAATTCAATTTCCAATTAAATGGAATTAAATCTACATAAATATGCATCGTTTATTAGAATAGCAAGACCTTGGTACCATTCCGATACAATATTTGCATTATCGCAACGTGGTAGGCAACAAAAGAAATTATTGAAAACGCTTCACGGTTTTTCAAAAAAGGTAAGTTTTTCATTTAAATGAGCAAATACAATTAATCTTTATATTGCGAAATTGTATCGATTTATTAAAATATTACTCTTATTTTAGATAATAGCAGAAAGGATACTATTTCACGAACGAACTAAGGGGAAATACTTACGAAATGTTGAAGAAATGAATGAGAATCAGATTTTTTACGAAGAAAATAATAAAGGTAATCGAATAGTTTAATAATAAGTCATGAGTTTAATAATAAGTCAATAGTTTAATAATGAGTCATAATCTCGGTATTAATATTAATCGAATAATTTGATGGCAGATCCCGTAATCAATAAAAGACTGGCTTTGCTAGACCTACTCATAGCCGCTTCTCTGAATGATAATCAACTCGATCAAGAAGGAATACGAGAAGAAGTCGACACTTTTATGTTTGCGGTAGGTTGTAATGTTAATTCCTTACGATTATTAACAAAAAATAATAATAATTTAGAACAAATATCTCCATAGGGTCACGATACTACGGCAACGGCGTTATGTTTCGCTCTGCTTCTTTTTGCAAAACACAAAGATGTTCAGGTGATATTTTCTTTCCAAGTATTTAACAATCTTCGATTGAAAGAGTCGCGTTATACATCTATAGTAAATAATAAATTATCTATTGATTTAAAGGAACGTATAAGAAATGAAGTGAAAACGGTTATGCAACAAAGTGATTGTAAACTGACTATTCCGATACTTCGAGAATTTTCATATTTGGAAAGATGTCTCAAAGAATCACTACGTTTATATCCAAGCGTTCATTTTATGGCTCGATATATATCTCAAGATCTGCAGTTGAGTATGTGATAAATTAATTTTTCACATAATTTAACGATTTATCATTATCATCATATAAATATAAGCAATTATCAAATCATAATAGAATAAGTAATCATATTAATTTGTAGAGAATTATTTAATCCCAGCCGGATCAATATGTAATGTAAACATCTATAGCTTACACAGAAATCCAAATATTTGGACAAATCCTGATGTTTTCGATGCGGATAGATTTTTACCAAAAAATACAAAAGGACGTAATCCTTATTCCTTCATTCCATTCAGCGCAGGACCAAGAAACTGCATCGGTAAAGCTTGCATGTAGTAATCGAAATTAGATCAAAATAAATGTATTATTTTTCTTTTTGTAGGGCAGAAATTCGCAATGCTTGAACTCAAACTCATAGTAGCTTACATATTGCACAACTTCTATTTGGAACCTGTAGATGAACTAGACGACGTTAAGATGATTGCAGATCTTGTATTGTGCTCATCAAAACCACTTCGTGTCAAATTTATTCCTATAAAATGACTCATATCGAATATTCGATTTTTTCTAGATAAAAAAAATTGTTAATACAACACAATCCGTTTTTTCATTTTTTCCATATATTAATAATCTTTAGGTCTTTTATATCTTTACCTTACATAACAAAGAATATTCTTTACATTCAAAACTTTTATTCATTAAATTGCTTTATCGACAGGTAGATTAAACTTACACAATTTCTATAAATACTAGGCTAATATATAAAGTTCTACGTCGTGGCTTGTTAGAAAGTGTATTTTTAATTTAAAAAAATAATTGTATATGTCACTAAGATGAAAGATTTTAACTGATAACGTTGTCGGTGCTAATGAATCCAATAAGTGAGGAAAGAAAGAATAAAACTAAAGGTGTAGAAAATATTTATCTGACCGAAAGAAGTGGCAAAGAATATTTAGTTGCAATTCTATATACACATATATATTTATTAGGGGGACCGAAAAATAATGTCGTTTCTGCGCATGTCGATATTTGATTGTAATTAAAAATAAAAATTTGTTAAAAATTTATTCGTTTGAATTTAATTTAAGAAAGCGACATTACTTTCCGGTCCATCTAATATATATATAATATATTTCATATATATAATTTTTATAAACTTTGATATAGAATATAAATATAAAAGCTGATTTACGTCTTTAGATAATAATAAATGATTATGTAACATAGTGATATGAAAACCACATATTTGTTATTTAACTTTTGTGTAATATTATTGTAATCTAGGAGCAATTGCAATCTATTTGCTAGTGTATTAAAAAGGTTATTAACGAGAACATCTGAACCTGCGAATAATATAAGTACTGTCCAATCATTTTTTCCAATTTATAATTACACATTGTCACAAGAAATTCTTCATATTGCTAATGTGTTCGCTAACCATTCGTACATCTGGAAATGATAAGGAGAATATAGAATTCATGCATCTTAAAATCTACATTGATCATTGACAAATACGCAAATGAAATTAAATTTAATTAAATAATAAATTAGTCTAAAATTTTCTCTACCAAAAATTGCACGTTCGGACAAAAATTTTAATTATATAGATATATTCTATATTTATTACGATAACATTTTTCGCAATAATGCATGTATAAATAATATTATTTTAATATATTTTTCTCCAACTTTAAACAATGATAGATTTAGCTTTCAAAAGCTATTAAAAAATTTTTGAAATTTATCTAAAATCAATCAATCTTGAACAATATCTACACTCTCGAGCCTCAACCGTCCATGAAATAATTAAATAAAAAAATACAATTTCGAAAAAAAGATTATACATGGATTACTGGGTATTAAATTAAGATTATATTGTCATGTGGAAAGCCCCATGTCTTATGCGTAAAGTCGCATAAATTCGTTTCTGCTTGTACTCATTTCATATTTGTACTTGCCAAATACGTCATTATAAGATGGCAAATACTCTTTGACAAACATAAAATGACGTATCACAACTATCGAACTAAGCAAATATTAGATTATTTCTCTATCATCTAATTTCTTTCTATATATAATCATCAAGATAATTATATTCATATTGTACATATGAATATAAATACGATTGTAACTATGAAAATGTCTATTCAATACATTTTTCTTCTTTTATAGATAATATGTTCTTCACAAACCTATTGGATTTCTTCATACTTTCACTTGTATTGCACTGCTTTGTAAGATATGGAAAAGTGGGAAGAATATCCAATCGAATTCCTGTACTAAAAACACACCCGATAATAGTAAATTTATATAAATTTCAACTTGACATTGATAAGCTCAATCGGAAGTGAAATTCGTCCAAACGAATTATCTTTTAACTTACAACTTCTCCAACTCGATGTAATTGTCACTTAACATAACCATAATATAAACATAACGATTTTATTAATATTTTAGACTAAATTCTTGAAAAATGTTGGAAAACAAATATCGAGTTATATCCAGTCCACAGAGTGAGGACGTTTTTTTTTCCATTAGTAACTTTACTACATCCGGAAGATGTTGAGATAAGAATTACAAGGCAAAAACAGTGTTAATTTTTAGTTCTCTCCTCCTTTTCAGATCAGAACGTATTCTGTCAAAGTCATCTTACGGAAAAGAATAAATATATATTTCGATAGAAGATATTATTAAGGAGTAACCAACCTATAGAAAAAGATATTACAAATTCATACAAACTTGGCTTTCTACTGGATTAATAACTGGTGCAGGTAACAATATGAACAAACATAAACTTAATATATTTGATAATACTTAACGACAAATGTTCCACTAAATAAGAGAAAAGTGACAATACCGACAAAAAATTCTAACGCCAACCTTTCATTTTAACATCCTTAAACATTTTATTGTCACTTTTAATGAGGAGGCACAGTATCTCGTAACATTACTGAAAGAAGAAGGAAAAGGAGTATCGATTATCAAAGATTTACAGGAATTTTTACCTGTACATACTTTAAACGCGATATGCTGTTAGTTAAATTAAATATAATTACTCACTGATCTTTATAAAAGAAAAATTATTTACAAAAGTTAATTTGTAGAAATGGCTATGGGAATCTCTTTAAGAGGAACGGGCGAATTTGAAACTAAATATCGCCATGCCGTTCATGATTTCGGCAGAATAGCGGTCTATAGGTAAATATTAATTCTTATATTAGAAAAAAATTCAATTTCCAATTAAATGGAATTAATTCTACAAAAATATGTATTATTCAATAGAATAGCAAGACCATGGTACCATTCCGATACAATATTTGCATTATCGCAACGTGGTAGGCAACAAAAGAAATTATTGAAAACGCTTCACGGTTTTTCAAAAAAGGTAAGTTTTTCATTTAAATGAGCAAATACAATTAATCTGAATATTGCGAAATTGTATCGATTTATTAAAATATTACTCTTATTTTAGATAATAGCAGAAAGAATACTATTTCACGAACAAACAAAGGGGAAATATTTACAAAATGTTGAAGAAATGGATGAGAATCTGATTTTTTACGAAGAAAATAATAAAGGTAATCGAATAGTTTAATAATAATGAGTCATATTCTCGGTATTAATATTAATCGAATAATTTGATGACAGATCCCGTATTTAAAGGAAGACTGGCTTTGCTAGACCTACTCATAGCCGCTTCTCAGAATGATAATCAACTCGATCAAGATGGAATACGAGAAGAAGTCGACACCATTATGTTTGCGGTAGATTGTAATGTTAATTCCTTACGATTATTAACAAAAAATAATAATAATTTAGAACAAATATCTCCATAGGGTTACGATACTACGGCAATGGCGTTATGTTTCGCTCTGCTTCTTTTTGCAAAACACAAAGATGTTCAGGTGATATTTTCTTTCCAAGTATTTAACAATCTTCGATTGAAAGAGTCGCGTTATACATCTATAGTAAATAATAAATTATCTATTATAGGAACGTATAAGAAATGAAGTGAAAACGGTTATGCAACAAAGCGATTGTAAACTAACTATTCCGATACTTCGAGAATTTTCGTATTTGGAAAGATGTCTTAAAGAATCACTACGTTTATATCCAAGCATTCATTTTATAGCTCGATATATATCTCAAGATCTGCAGTTGAGTATGTGATAAATTTATATTTCACCTAATTTAACGATTTATCATTAATATCATATTAATATAAGCAATTATCAAATCATATTAAGATAAGTATTAATTTTTGGAGGATTATTTAATCTTCTTAATTTAAATTCTTTGTAAACTCTGATTTAATTTCAATTTTTTTATGACATTTTTATGTATACATTTGTATGCATATGTATACCATAAAAGTAATTATTTTGAAAGTAATAACCGATTAGTAAAAAAGGGATCTATTGTTATCGACTGAAGTTTACCGATTAAGAACACATTAAGATCTTCTTTAACCGACTGAATTTTATGTGGGAAAATACTACTTTGTTATTACGACCAAACTAACTCTTATCGACTAAGATTTTGTTAAGCAAGACATTATACTACTACTCACCGATCGATATAGTAAGGATCTACTAAACCGACTGAGCTTTTACTAAAATAGCTCTACTCTTTTATTAAATTTGGTATTAAATTTTGTAATGACGAAAATTATTTTTATATTTATAATTTGGACCGGAAAATAAAATGATAATCACACTAAATCAATATCACACTAATCAAATATTAAAATATTAATTTGTTATGTAATTTCATTGCACATTTAGATAATTATATTTATTGTATGTAAATACATGTAATAGATGCATTTTTTTTCATCTTTACATAAAATTTGTATATTTGAAAGAATTTATTCAATTCGCCTCTTCTGTAGATATAATTATCCTCACAATATTCCTTTTAAAATAAAAAAAAAGTATATATTTGCATCATAAGTACTCATGAGTACCATAAGAAACATAAAAAGGATAGCATGTAAATCAATCTTACTTTCGACAGTACTTTCGACTTTATAAGTAATAAATTCGTTCATTCAATAAGAGATATTGAATCTAAGGAAAAATTTATTGCATATTACATTTCTTTTATATCTAAGTATTTATTTTATATCTAGTCTAATATTTTAGGATTTATAGCTGAATATATAATAAATTTACATTTCAGATGGATTTTCATTTCGTCATTAAAATCAAATGACTGAAAATATTAATTTTCGATAAATTATTTAAAAAATTATTCCTATTATTATCATTTAATTAGTTAGTTCAACTTATGTAAGCATATCTTATGCATTATAAATTTTTAAGTAAATTAAATCTTAATTTAAAAAAAAAGTTAAAAATTAAGATTTAATTTAGTTAAAAATTTAAATTAAGATTTGTTGAAAGAAAAAAGAAAAAAAAGTTGTAATTTAAATGATTGAAGATTCAGAATATATTTATACGAATATTATCAAACGTCGCGAATATTCTAAAGTATTTACGAGCTGATAATATTAATATCATATATAAAGCTAAATAGAAATATTCATACTTAAAATACATCATTATACGTTTTGCAATTATGCTACTGCGAGTTAACATGCATAATTTTTTTACACACAATTATCTCTTTTTTCTCTCGAAAATTATTTAATCAACGTTCAAAAGATCACGCGACACAATGTAATGATATTAATGAGATCAATCTATAAAAATTTCTGCTACCGAGAAATAATTAAACGAGGAAATATTATAAATGATATTTAATTATATTTTTCCATTTTATTATTATATGTTCTTATACAAATAATCCTTAATATTCATAATGCATTATCACACATTGATACAATTAAAAAGACAATTTGATTCATGCAATTTTAAACGCATAAGTGCTATGCGGTTATATTACAATACTTATAAATATTTATAAAAGTAAATTAATTTATTTGTAAAATTTCTTCTGTAATATGATCGTGTTAAAACTCTAACTATATAGTTATATTTTAATAAAATATTTTTGTCTTGTCTAACTTTTTCTTAGATTTGATTATCAATATAATTATATTCGTTAATAAAGTGCTTTTTATATATATATATATATATAATATATATTATATATATATTATATATATATAATATATATAATATATATAATATATATAATATATATAATATATATAATATATATAATATATATTATATATATTATATATATATTATATATATATATATATTATTATATATTTATATATATATATATATATAAATATGTATAATATATATATATACGTAGAAATATTTGACTTTTCATTGGATTTATAATAAATATAAATAATGATTAGAGGAAGAAAGATCTGATACATCATACACATATTCAACGTGTCAAGTATCAATCGGGAGATAACAAATGGTAAAAAAGACGAAAAATATTGATATCTATTTCCGCTTTAATATTCATAAATATTTTGTCGTAATTTTTAATAATGAGCTATAATATTTTCTAACCTCATTAGAGAAATAGAAAAAAAAATGGTTATTGTAAAGTAAGCAATTGGAAAACAAGCAGATTGTCTCGTATTTGAAACTTTATAAATTTGTATGTTTATACCTTCTGGGAAAGAACCAATATTTAAATAAATCCTGATGTTTTCGATGCGGATACATTCTTACCGGAAAATACAAATGGACGTAACCCTTATTCCTTCATTCCATTCAGTGCAAGACCAAGAAACTGCATCGGTAAAGCTTGCATGTAGTAATCGAAATTAGATCAAAATAAATGTATTATTCTTCTTTTTGTAGGGCAGAAATTCGCAATGCTTAAACTCAAACTCATAGTAGCTTACATATTGCACAACTTTTATTTGGCACCTGTAGATGAACTGGACGGAGTTAAAATGATGGGAGATATTATATTGCCCTCATCGCAACCACTTCGTGTCGAATTTATACCTATAAAATAACAGTACGTCATCTTTACCGGAATTGCATGCATCATTTCGATGATGTGATCTATAAGGCGAAATTATTATATGTATAATTTTGAGATACGAAACATAATTACACCTTTTTTTCCGCTTATTTTTAATCTCTGTATGTATTTTTTCTTTTCTTTCTCTTCTCTCATTCCTTATTTTGTTCAATTCATTCATAACTGACACAGTTATGTAACATTCTTCAATGTATTAATTAATCCGATTAGTATTGTTTGCTAGATTCCATTTTGCCTTCATCATGTCTCGAAAAAAATAAAAAAAATTTATCAGCTCGGGAACTTGTCTCCTTCATTTTCTCTTTTTTTTCTATTGCCTACGATGAGTCAACCGAATCCTCTTATCACCGCAAAAATTTAATTTAGCTTTAATCAATTGATGATTACCATAACAAGGTAATTATTGCGATAAAATATTTAATATCGAATATTTTTTAATAATGAATATTTTGTCCTTAACAAAATATGAAACTTATATCATAAAGTATATTGTAAATAAAATATCATGAGATAGTGTGCGTCATTTCGATAAAAAGTTAAAATGTGTAAACTGTATATATAAACGAAGCTATTATAATATAATGTTACCATAATCATATCTTTTCTTTTTCTTTCTTTTATTCTATGTATATATCCTTAATATTTTCTCAACCACATTCTTTTCGTTCTTTTTATCGTTGGTTTATCATTGAGATATTTCAATCAATTATTTTTGATTAACTTATTTTTTTTGCCTTCGTAATATCTCGAAGAAAAACAGAGAAGAATTCAACGACTCAGAAAACATACCCTTTGTTTTTTCTCTTTACATTTCTCATTCTGTAATAAATGCTGCAAATCCTCTTACCGCTGCGTCTATAATGTGAAGATTATCGAACTCTAACGATTATAGAACATTAGATGATATTTTTCGATTTGATGCGTGGATAAAGAAAGATATAGGAATAAAATTTAAGTGTGAGAACGTACATGTAATTCCGATTATTTGGAATTCAATATCGACAAGAATAAATTATCTGATCGTGATTAAACGAACCTGTAGATACATTTGTTATCTCATATATGTGTGTTAAATGAAATATTTTTATATTGTTTGACGCTTCCTATAATATGTACAATTCTATCTTTAAGAAGAAATATAAATATAGAAATGGGACGGCATATTACTGTCCATTCCCCTATGAATAATACATGTTCTGTCTTACTGTTAGTAAAGATAAAAGAAGGTTGTGCTATTGAGAAACTAACACCATTAATTTTGAAAAATATCAGACTGGACAAAAATATAAGGAAAGAACGTATAAACATAAGACAGTATAAAAGTCACATTTGTAATGACAGTTTTATATTTTATTTTATAATCGGATACAGATACAATTTATTTTATCAAGCGTTACGATAATTTAATCGTTTATGCTTGTCTATAATATATAATCCTAATTAAGCTTCTATCGTTATTTTTCTATTGGAAAATGTAATTAGATAAGATAAAGTGTTACCCTGTTTTTCTTATCAAATATGAAAATACAACCAATTACAACCCAAAGATAAAATTAATTTAACCGATTTGGTTTCTTGTTGCTAAAAATTCAAAAAATGAAGAAAAATATATGAAGCATAGAATATATTTAGTGATGTAATAAAAAAAGATGAATAATATAATAAGCCTCTCTCTCCCACACACTCTCTTTCTCTCTCTCTCTCTCCTTTTCGCTCACTCTCCTTCTCACTTTTTCACTCTCTCTCTCTCTCTTTTTCTCTCTCTCCTTCTCGCTCACTCTCCTTCTCACTCTTTTTCTCCCTCTCTCCCTATGTCTCTTCCTCTTATGATTTCTTTGTTCAAATAAGTTATTAAAATATCAATTAATGAATTATGATCAACATGAAAGCACATATTATATTCTTACTGGAAAAAATTCAAATTTGATATATATTCTATTTAAAAAGTTATTTTCGAACATTGTTCTTAACCGAGACTGAAGAAATCGTAAGAATGTAATTGACGTTAGACGAGATATTATTATTTTGTCCCACTATAATTAACTACCCTGTACAGATAAAATTATATAACACAGTGTTATAAGGAACACTGATCCGTAGAGTAAAATTATCGTGCTCTCTTAGAATTTATCATTCATCGTTCAGACGGTCAAGCGATTTAGCCACTTATAAAATCAGTGTCTTGAAAATTCTGTTACGGGAGCTATATGAACTTACGAACAATGTAAGTGTTGTTTAATTATTTTTCCCATTTTATAGTTAAACATTATCGCAAGTAATTCTTAATATTGCTTATGTATTCTTTAATCATTCATACAACTGAAACGGATTCATAAAAGATACTAACCATTGGTCATTACTCAAACCAAATTAAGCTTTAATTTAAAGAAATTAAAGCATTTATTTCACAAAATTGCACAATCAGAAGAAACAACTAACTACACAAAAATATTTCATATTTATTTTAGTTAACACTTTTCGTTTGCGTTGTACAATGATTTTTAATTCTGTATACATTAACAAACTGAATATTTAAGACGATTGAAAAATTAGAAATTTATGCAATATTTATTCTCTTGCTTCAACTGTTCGTGAAAATAAGAAATATACTAACAGAAGTCATTCAGAATCGCAAATATGAAAATAAAAATTATACATTGGCCATTACATTTAAAATTAAATATAACTATGACATGTAAGAGATTCGTATCTTAATCAGACGAGGCACGTCAATCTTATTATCACTTATGCGTAAGTCCATCACTGCTTTCGTGCCATATATTTTTGTACTCGTAAATTAAATCGATAGCAAGTATGAAAATTCTATATGCATTAATAACTTTAGTCGGTAAATATAAACTACGTATTCTATGAATCATAAGAAGCGAATATTAAACTAACTTCTTTGCATATTTAATAATTACTATAATAATATCATTATACGCATAATATACTTGAAGAAGTCTATTTAAGAAATTTTATTTTCTTCCACAGAATTGATAAGATGTTCTTCTTTATAATATCAGGGTTGCTTACAATACTATTCTTATTGCATTACTTAACAAGATATGGCAGATTAGGAAATATTTCTAGTCGAATTGTGGGACCAAAAGCATACCCCATAATAGGAAATTTATATCATCTTCAAGTTGACAATGGTAAACTTCACCGGAAATAATTTTATTGAAAAAATTTTATCCGTTAACTTTCATTTCATCGATGCAGTTTTACTCAATATAAACATTTAATCAATATTTCAGAACAATTATTAGAAAAACTTTGGAAAATCAATAAGGAATTTTCTCCAATTAACAGATTGTGGTCATTATTTTTTTCATTAATAACTATAATTCATCCGGAAGATGTCGAGGTAAATAATTTGAAGACAATAACAGAGTTAATTAAAATTTTTTTCTTTCTGTTACAATTTCAATGTAACATGTCATCATCATCTTATGAAAATCAAAATATATATATCTCGATCATAGATACTTTTGAAGAGTACGCAACATCTAGAAAAAACTATACCTTATAAATTCATACAACCTTGGCTTTCCACTGGATTAATAACTGGAGCAGGTAACAGTATGAACAAACATAAACTTAATATATTTGATAATACTTAACGACAAATGTTCCACTAAACAGGAGAAAAATGGCAACACCGACGAAAAATTTTAACGCCAACCTTTCATTTTAACATCCTTAAACATTTTATTGTCACTTTTAACGAGGAGGCACAGTATCTCGTAACATTACTGAAAGAAGAAGGAAAAGGAGGATCGATTATCAAAGATTTACAGGAATTTTTACCTGTACATACTTTAAACGCGATATGCGGTTAGTTAAATTAAATATAATTACTCACTGATCTTTATAAAAGAAAAATTATTTATAAAAGTTAATTTGTAGAAACGGCTATGGGAATCTCTTTAAGAGGAACGGGCGAATTTGAAACTAAATATCGCCATGCCCTTCATGATTTCGCCAGAATAGCGGTCTATAGGTAAGTATTAATTCTTATATTAGAAATAAATTCAATTTCCAATTAAATGGAATTAAATCTACATAAATATGCATCGTTTATTAGAATAGCAAGACCTTGGTATCATTCCGATACAATATTTGCATTATCGCAATGTGGTAGGCAACAAAAGAAATTATTGAAAACGCTTCACGGTTTTTCGAAAAAGGTAAGTTTTTCATTTAAATGAGCTAATACAATTAATCCCAATATTGCGAAATTGTATCGATTTATTAAAATATTACTCTTATTTTAGATAATAGCAGAAAGGATACTATTTCACGAACAAACTAAGGGGAAATATTTAGAAAATGTTGAAGAAATAGATGAGAATCTGATTTTTTCCAAAGAAACCGACGAAAATAATAAAAGTAATCGAACAGTTTAATAATGATAAGTCATATTCTCGGTATAAATATTAATCGAATAATTTGATAACAGATCCCGTAATCAATAAAAGACTGGCTTTGCTAGACCTACTCATAGCCGCTTCTCAGAATGATAATCAACTCGATCAAGATGGAATACGAGAAGAAGTCGACACATTTATGTTTGCGGTAGATTGTAATGTTAATTCCTTACGATTATTAACAAAAAATAATAATAATTTAGAACAAATATCTCCATAGGGTCACGATACTACGGCAATGGCGTTATGTTTTGCTCTGCTTCTTTTTGCAAAACACAAAGATGTTCAGGTGATATTTTCTTTCCAAGTATTTAACAATCTTCGATTGAAAGAGTCGCGTTATACATCTATAGTAAATAATAAATTATCTATTGATTTAAAGGAACGTATAAGAAATGAAGTGAAAACGGTTATGCAACAAAGTGATTGTAAACTGACTATTCCGATACTTCGAGAATTTTCATATTTGGAAAGATGTCTCAAAGAATCACTACGTTTATATCCAAGCGTTCATTTTATAGCACGATATATATCTCAAGATCTGCAGTTGAGTATGTGATAAATTAATTTTTCACATAATTTAACGGTTTTTCATTATCATCATATAAATATAAGCAATTATCAAATCATAATAGAATAAGTAATCATATTAATTTGTAGAGAATCATTTAATCCCAGCCGGATCAATATGTAATGTAAACATCTATAGCTTACACAGAAATCCAAATATTTGGACAAATCCTGATGTTTTCGATGCGGATAGATTTTTACCAGAAAATACAAAAGGACGTAATCCTTATTCCTTCATTCCATTCAGTGCAGGACCAAGAAACTGCATCGGTAAAGCTTACATAAAGTAATCGAAATTAGATCAATATAAATGTATTATTTTCCTTTTTGTAGGGCAGAAATTCGCAATGTTTGAACTCAAACTTATGGTAGCTTACATATTGCACAACTTCTATTTGGAACCTGTAGATGAACTGGACGAAGCTAAAATGATAGCAGATATTACATTGCGCTCATCGCAACCACTTCGTGTCGAATTTATACCTATAAAATAATAGTACGTCATCTTCGCCGGGATTGCATGCATCACTTCGATGGTGTGACTTACAAGGCGAAATTGTCATATGTATAATGTTGGGATGCGAAATCTAATCACATTTTTTTCCGCTTATTTTTAATCTCTGTATGTATTTTCTCTTCTTTTTCTCTTCTCTCATTCCTTATTTTGTTCAATTTATTCATACCTGACACAATGATGTAACATCCTTCAATGTATTAATTAATCGGAATAATATTGTTTGCTAGATTTCATTTTTCCTTCGTCATGCCTCAATAAAAAAAAAAAATTCCATCGTTTCGGAAACCTGTCTCCTTCATTTATTTTTTATTTCTTTTTTCTTTGTTTAGTCAATTCAATTCTCTTATCACTGCACCAATCATTTAATTTGTTTTTATTGAATTTATGATTACCATAACAAGATAATCATAGCGATTATATATGTAATATAGAATATTTTGTATAAATGAATATTTTGTTCTTAAGAAAATATGAAACTCATATCAGAAGTACATAGTAAATGATACATCATGACATAGTTTGGTTTATTTCGATAAAAAGTTAAAATATGTGTACTACGATTGTAAACGCGAAGTTATTATAATATAATAATAACGAAATCATATCGTTTCCTGTTCTTTTTTTTATTCTGTATATATATTCTTACATTTTTCTCAGCCTCATTCATATCAAACCATTTATCTTATGAGATACAGCGGTATATGATTGTCGAATGATCCAACCATTCATTTTTGCTCGATTTACTTTTTTCGCTTTCGTGATATCTCGAAGAAAAACAGAGAAAAACTCGGTGTCTTTGAAAACTTGCCCCTCATTTTTTTCCTTTATACTTCTCTTTCTGTTACAAAATCTTTTATCGCTTTTAACGACTATAGAATGCTCAATGACATTTCTCGATCAATGCGTGAATAACGAAGGATGTAAAAATAAAATTAAAGTGTAAGAATGTACATGTAATTGCGATTATTTGGAATTCATTATTGAAAAGAATGAATTGTCTGATCGTGATTAAACGAAACTGTAGATACCATTGTTATCTCTTGTATTTCTGTTAGATCAAATCTTTTTTGTATTTCTTGACACTTCCTGTATTTTGTATAATTTTTTCTTTAAGAAATAATGTCAATAATGCATGTACTGCCTCTTTGAATGTATAAATGAAAGAATGTCCTACGGTTGTGGAACTTTTATAACCGACATAATTATAATACTAAATAATAAATTAATTAACCTAATATTTATAAACTTTATTTTTAATCCAAATGTCTCGTGATTTTTTAACATTTACGAATTTGTACTAATATACTCATTGATAAATTTATAGAATAAAATTATATAGAAACTGTATATTATGCGTATTCCGAAGAGCTAAAACATTCGACGAATGAAATTTTATTTTCCGAAAATTATTTAGGCTTCAACTATTCACTGATCAAATCTATTTTACAAAACTCGTTTTATATCTGCGTCAAAGATTCTTCATCACTACTAGAAATATGTTCCCTTTGTAACTCATATCATACTCGCTAAGATAACGTATAGATAAAAAGCACGTAGCCGCATTTGTCCGAGTTTAAGCACTGTTAGGCGAATTTCTAGTTTTCGATATTGTGCCTAGTCGGGCGATAAATAAATAGTGAAAGTTGTCTTCTAGACGGTAACAGGCAAAGATTGTCTGACGTATAGCCTTGAAATATCTATTGACACTTTAGTCTACACAATTACTAGAACACATACAATATTCAAACGTTCAAATGAATTATCCCGACTCACTGTAGACCTATGGACATTTATTCTTTCCCTTTCTATACTCAGATAATACTTCAACTCCACGAGTTAGCCCATTTCGAAAACACTGTTGTAGAAGTCCGACGAATTCTAGAATAATCAGGTCATTATGGCTAGTGTCTTACGACACCATACTCATTTATCTACTAACTTCGCATCTTGACAAAGAGATTCATAAAAAATGGTGTGATGGTCCCTAATCGAATGCCTCTCCTCTGTTGAGGAGCAATTCTTCAAATTCTTACATGAAAGAAGAAACTCACTCCTACAGACGCACTCAAGGTCACAGCACTCTAATACGCGAAAGCAAGCCACTACTGCTTGTGACGCGTACGCAGATTAAAATACTACTCACATTCGTTCTCCACGGTTGAAGAGAATTATTGCCGGGTTCCTCTATTTCTCAAAATTTACTTAGTTGAGACTCCAAAGAACTTGTCACCATATTGCAATTGATCCGCTGTAATGGGGCCATGCTGCGCATTTCACCCTATCCAGTCAATCTTGATTTTTTGTAATACGCCCGAAGTATTGAGAACCGATATTTGTGCATGAAGAAATCGAAATTAGATAAAAATAAATGTATTATTTTTATTTTCGTAGGTCAGAAATTCGCAATGTTTAAAGTCAAACTCATGATAGCTTACATATTGCACAACTTCTATTTGGAACCTGTGGATGAATTAGATGACGTTAAAATATTAGATCTTATATTACTTTCATCGAAACGACTTCGAGTCAAATTTATACCTATAAAATAATCGTACGTCATCTTTACCGAGATTGCATGTATAATTTCGATGGCGTGATCTATAAGGCGAAATTATAATATGTATAATGTTGGAATACGAAACATAATCAAATTTTTTTCCGCTTACTTTTAATCTCTCTATGTATTTTCTCTTTTTTTCTCTTCTGTCATTCCTTATTTTGTTCAATTCATTCATACCTGACACAATGATGTAACATTCTTCAAAGTATTAATTAATCCAAATAGTATTGTTTGCTAGATTCCATTTTGCCTTCATCATGTCTCGAAAAAAATAAAAAAAATTTATCATCTCGGGAACCTGTCTCCTTCATTTTCTCTTTTTTTTCTTTTTTTATCGGTGAGTCAATCCAATTCTTTTATTACTGCACTAATCATTTAATTTGGTTTTAATGAATTTATGATTATCATAACAAGATAATCATAGCGATTATATATATAATATAGAATATTTTTTATAAATGAATATTTTGTTCTTAACAAAATATGAAATCCATATCGTAAATAGATAGTAAATGAAAAATAATGAGATAGTATGCGCCGTTTCGACAAAAAGTTAAAATGTGTATACTATATGTACAAAGGAAGTTATTATAATATATTATTAGCAAAATCATATCTTTTCTTTTGCTTTTTTTTAATGTGTGTATATTTCTCTTTCCGTTACAAATGCCGCAAAACCTCTTATCGCTGCATCCATAATGTAACAGATGGAAAATAATCGGACTGTAACGACTATAGAATGGTCGATGTCACTTCTCGATCGATGCGTGAATAATGAAAGATGTAAAAATAAAATTGAAGTGTAAGAACGAACATGTAATTGTGATTATTTGGAATTCATTATTGAAATGAGTAAATTGTCTGATCGTGATTATATGAACCTGTAGATATCTTTGTTATCTCTTGTATTTGTATTGAATAAAATCTTTTTTGTATTGTTTGATTCTTCCTATAATGTGTATAATTTTTTCTTCAAGAAGAATTATAAGTCTAAAAATGGGACGGTATATTACTGTCCATTCCCCTATGAATATTACATGTTCTGTCTTACTATTAGTAAAAATAAAAGAAAGTTGTGCTATTGAGAAACTAACACCATTAATTTTAAAAACCATCATACTGGACAAAAATATAAGGAAAGAACGTATAAATATAAGACAGTATAAAAGTCATATTTGTAATGACAGTTTTATATTTTATTTTATAATCGGATACAGATACAATTTATTTTATCAGGCGTTACGATAATTTAATCGTTTATGCTTGTCTATAATATATAATCCTAATTATGCTTCTATCGTTATTTTTCTATTCGAAAATTTAAGTAGATAAGATAAAGTGTTACACTGTTTTTCTTATCAAATATGAAAATACAACCAATTACAACCCAAAGATAAAATTAATTTAACCAATTTGATTTCTCGTAGCAAAAAAATCGAATAATGAAGAGAAATACTTAAGGCATAGAAAATATTTAGTGATGTAATAAAAAAAGATAAATAATATAGTAAGCCTCTCTCTCTCCCAATCATTCTCTTTTTCTCTCTCTCTCGCCCAATCATTCTCTTTTTCTCTCACTCACTCCTACACGCTCCCTCTCCATCCCACACTCCAACCCACTCGCTCACTCTCTCTCTCCCTTACTCATCACTCACTCTCCTTCTTACTCTCTCTCTGTCTCTCTCTCTCTCTCTCTCTCTCTCTCTATCTCCCTCTCTATCTCTATCTCTCTCTACGTCTCTTCCTGTTATGATTTCTTTGTTAAATTAAATTATTAAAATATCAATTCCTGAAGTATGACCAACATGAAAGCACATATATTCTTACCGGAAAAAATTCAACTTCGATATAAATTCTACTTTAGAAGTTATTTTGCAACATTGTTTTTAACCAAGACTGAAGAAATCTCGAGAAAGTAATCGACACTAGATATTATTATTTTGTCTTTCTATGATTAACTATCATATATAGATAAAATTATATTACACAGTGTCATAAGGAAAAAGTATTCGTAGATTAAAAATAACGTGCTCTCTTAGAATTTCACATTCATCGTTCAGACGGTCAAGCGATCGGGTCACTTATAAATTCAGTGTCTTGAAAATTCTGTTACGGGATCTATAAGAACTTACGAACAATGTAAGTGTTGTTTAATTACTTTTCCCATTTTATAGAAAATAATAATAGACAAACATTATCGCAAGTAATTCTTAATATTGCTCTTGTGTTCGTGAATTAATCATACAGCTGAAACGGATACGTAAATGATACTAATCATTGACCATTAATCAGGTAAAATTAAATTTTTATTAAATAACTGGATAATATAAAGATTTTTATTCACAAAATTGTACGATCAGATTAAATTACTAACTACACAAATATATTCTACATTTTACACGTCAACATTTTTTATTTGCGTTGTACGATGATTTTTAATTCTGTATACATTAACAAATTGAATATTTAAGACGATTGAAAAATTAGAAATTTATGCAATATTTATTTTCTTGCTTTAACTGTACATAAAAATGGGAAATACACTATCAAAATTCATTTAGAATCGCAAATAAAGAAATAAAAATTATACATCAGCCATCAAATGTGAAATTAAATTTATATTTGTCATGTAAGAGGATTATATCTTAATTAGACGAGGCACGTCAGCCTTATTACCACTTATGCGTTAATTCATCACTTTAAATGTGTTCTATTTTTGTACTCGTTAATTAAACCTATAGCAGATATAAAAATTCAATATACGTTTAGAACTTTTATCGGCAAATATAAACTATGTATTCTATATACTACACGAAACGAATATTACAGTATTTGTCTGTCAACTAACTCCTTTGCATATCCAATTATTACTATAATAATATCATTATACGCATAATATACTTGAAGAAGACTATTTAAGAAATTTTATTTTCTTCCACAGAATTGATAAGATGTTCCTCCTTGTCATATCAGGGTTCTTTACACTCCTATTTGTGTTGCATATCTTTACAAAATATGGGAGAATAGGATATTTTTCTAGTCGAATTGTGGGACCAAAAGCATACCCCATAATAGGAAATTTATATCATCTTCAAGTTGACAATGGTAAACTTCACCGGAAATAATTTCATTGAAAAACTTTTATCCTTTAACTTTCATTTCATCGATGCAGTTTTACTCAATATAAACATTTAATCAATATTTCAGAACAATTATTAGAAAAACTTTGGAAAATCAATAAGGAATTTTCTCCAATTAACAGATTGTGGTCATTATTTTTTTCATTAATAACTATAATTCATCCGGAAGATGTCGAGGTAAATAATTTGAAGACAATAACAGAGTTAATTTAAATTTTTTTCTTTCTGTTACAATTTCAATGTAACATGTCATCATCATCTTATGAAAATCAAAATATATATATCTCGATCATAGATACTTTTGAAGAGTACGAAACATCTAGAAAAAACTATACCTTATAAATTCATATAACCTTGGCTTTCCACTGGATTAATAACTGGAGCAGGTAACAGTATGAACAAACATAAACTTAATATATTTGATAATACTTAACGACAAATGTTCCACTAAACAGGAGAAAAATGGCAAAACCGACGAAAAATTTTAACGCCAACCTTTCATTTTAACATCCTTAAACATTTTACTGCCACTTTTAACGAGGAGTCACAGTATCTCGTAACATTACTGAAAGAAGAAGGAAAAGGAGGATCGATTATCAAAGATTTACAAGAATTTTTACCTGTACATACTTTAAACGCGATATGCGGTTAGTTATATTAAATATCATTACTCACTGATCTTTATAATAGAAAAATAATTTACAAAAGTTAATTTGTAGAAACGGCTATGGGAATCTCTTTAAGAGGAACGGGCGAATTTGAAACTAAATATCGCCATGCCGTTCATGATTTCGCCAGAATAGCGGCCTCTAGGTAAGTATTAATTCTTATATAAGAAATAAATTCAATTTCCAATTAAATGGAATTAAATCTACAAAAATATGTATTATTCAATAGAATAGCAAGACCATGGTACCATTCCGATACAATATTTGCATTATCGCAACGTGGTAGGCAACAAAAGAAATTATTGAAAACGCTTCACGGTTTTTCGAAAAAGGTAAGTTTTTCATTTAAATGAGCTAATACAATTAATCCGAATATTGCAAAATTGTATCGATTTATTAAAATATTACTCTTATTTTAGATAATAGCAGAAAGGATACTATTTCATGAACAAACTAAGGGGAAATATTTACAAAATGTTGAAGAAATAAATGATAATCAGATCTCTTCCGAAAAAACCGACGAGAATAATATGAGTAATCGAACAGTTTAATAATGATAAGTCATATTCTCGGTATAAATATTAATCGAATAATTTGATAACAGATCCCGTAATCAATAAAAGACTGGCTTTGCTAGACCTACTCATAGCCGCTTCTCAGAATGATAATCAACTCGATCAAGATGGAATACGAGAAGAAGTCGACACATTTATGTTTGCGGTAGATTGTAATGTTAATTCCTTACGATTATTAACAAAAAATAATAATAATTTAGAACAAATATCTCCATAGGGTCACGATACTACGGCAATGGCGTTATGTTTTGCTCTGCTTCTTTTTGCAAAACACAAAGATGTTCAGGTGATATTTTCTTTCCAAGTATTTAACAATCTTCGATTGAAAGAGTCGCGTTATACATCTATAGTAAATAATAAATTATCTATTGATTTAAAGGAACGTATAAGAAATGAAGTGAAAACGGTTATGCAACAAAGTGATTGTAAACTGACTATTCCGATACTTCGAGAATTTTCATATTTGGAAAGATGTCTCAAAGAATCACTACGTTTATATCCAAGCGTTCATTTTATAGCTCGATATATATCTCATGATCTGCAGCTGAGTATGTGATAAATTTATTTTTCATATAATAGAACGGTTTATCATTATCATCATATTAATATAAGCAATTATCAAATCATAGTAGAATAAGTAATCATATTTATTTGTAGAGAATCATTTAATCCCAGCCGGATCAATATGTAATGTAAACATCTATAGCTTACACAGAAATCCAAATATTTGGACAAATCCTGATGTTTTCGATGCGGATAGATTTTTACCAAAAAATACAAAAGGACGTAATCCTTATTCCTTCATTCCATTCAGTGCAGGACCAAGAAACTGCATCGGTAAAGCTTACATAAAGTAATCGAAATTAGATCAAAATAAATGTATTATTCTTCTTTTTGTAGGGCAGAAATTCGCAATGCTTGAACTCAAACTCATGGTAGCTTACATATTGCACAACTTCTATTTAGAACCTGTAGATGAACTGGACGAAGCTGAAATGATAGCAGAAATTACATTGCGCTCATCGCAACCACTTCGTGTCGAATTTATACCTATTAAATAATAGTACGTCATCTTTACCGGGATTGCATGCATCATTTCGATGGTGTGATCTATAAGTCAAAATTATCATGTATAATTTTGAGATACGAAACATAATTACATCTTTTTTTCGCTTATTTTTAATCTCTGTATTTATTTTCTCTTTTTTTTCTCTACTCTCATTCCTTATTTTGTTCAATTTATTCATAACTGACACAGTTATGTAACATTCTTCAATGTATTAATTAATCCGAATAGAATTGTTTGCTAGATTTCATTTTTCCTTCGTCATGCCTCAATAAAAATAAAAAAAATTCATCGTCTCAGAAACCTGTGTCCTTTATTTTCTTTTTTATTTCTTTTTTCTTTGTTTAGTCAATTCAATTCTCTTATCACTGCTCCAATTATTTAATTTGGTTTTAATAATTTTATGATTACCATAACAAGATTATCATAGCGATAATATATGTAATATAGAATATTTTTTATAAATGAATATTTTACCCTTAACAAAATATGAAACCCTTATCAGAAGTCTATTGTAAATAAAATATCATGAGATAGTGTGAGTCGTTTGGATAAAATGTTAAAATGTGTGTACTCGAGATATAAACAGGAAGTTATTATAAAATAATATTAGCATAATTACATCTTTTCCTTTTTTTTTATTCTATGTATATATCTTTATCCTTTTTTCAATCTTCTTTCTTTCATTCCATTTATCTTAGGAGATACAACGATTTAACATTGTTGAAATATTCTAATCAACCATTTTTGATCGATTTTCTCATTTTGACTTCTTGATATTTCGAAGAAAAACATGAAAAACTCGACGACTCACAAACCCTATCCCTTGTTTTTTTCTTTTAAATTTCTCTTTCTGTTACAAATGCCGCAAAACCTCTTATCGCTGCATCCATAATGTAACAGATGGAAAATAATCGGACTGTAACGACTATAGAATGGTCGATGTCACTTCTCGATCGATGCGTGAATAATGAAAGATGTAAAAATAAAATTGAAGTGTAAGAACGAACATGTAATTGTGATTATTTGGAATTCATTATTGAAAAGAGTAAATTGTCTGATCGTGATTATACGAACCTGTAGATATCTTTGTTATGTTTTGTATTTGTGTTAAATAAAATCTTTTTTATATTTTTTGACACTTTCTATAATTTGAATAATTTTTTCTTTAAGAAGTAAAATGAATAATGCATGTACTGTCTCCTTAAAAATATAAATGAAAGAATGATGAGAAACTTTTATAACCGGCATAGATATAATACTAAATAATGAATTTATTATCGTAATATTTATTAACTTTATTTTTAATCCAAATGTCTCATGATTTTTTAACATTTAGGAATTTGCATTGATATACCTATCGATAAATTTATATAACAAAATTATATAGAAACTGTATATGCATATTCCGAAGAGCTGAAATTTTCGACGAATGAAATTTTATTTTTCGAAAATTATTTAGGCTTCAATTATTCACTGATCAAACCCCTTTTACAAAACTCGTATTATATCTACGTCAAAGATTCTTCAATATTAAAGAAATTTCACATTACGAACGATCAATGAAAGTATTGTCCATTTATTCTTCTCCATTTTATAGTTATTTATTGTGTTGACGCTTACGTGCTTCCCTCAATTGTTCGCAATACCTTTTACGAAGGCTCGTTTATCACTATTAGAATTATCTTCTCTTTGTAACTCATTACATACTCGCTATAAAAACGTTTTTATAGCTCTTTGTCTTCGTGATATCTCGAAGAAGAGCAAAAAAAAATTCGATGTTTCGGAAACCTTACCACTTTTCTTTTCCTTTACATTTCTCTCTCTGTTGCAAATGCAGCAAATCTTTTCATTGCTGCATCCAAAATGTAAAAATTATCGGACTATAACAACTATAGTACGATATTTCATAAATATATCATTTATGATATAGATGATATTTTTCGATCGATGCGTGAGTAAAGAAAGATATAAAAATAAAATTAAAGCGTCACAACGTACAATGAAATAGCGATTATTTGAAATTCAATATCGGAAAGAATATATTGTTCGACTCTCTCTCTCTCTCCCTATGCCTCTTCTTCTTATTATTTCTTTGTTCAATTAAATTATTAAAATATCAATTTGAAGAATGACCAACATGAAAGCACATATTATATTCTTACCGGAAAAAATACAACTTCGATATCTATCCTACTTAAAAATTTATTTTCGAACATTCTTTTTAACCGAGACTGAAGAAATCGTAAAAAAGTAATTAACGTTACACAAGATAATATTATCTTGTTTTTTCGAGATTAAATATTTAATTAAAGTAAAATTAGCAAAACACAATGACATAAGGAAAATGGATAGTAATGTAAAAGTATCGTGCTCAGTCACAATTTATCAATCTTCGTTCAGACGGTCAGCGACCGAATCATTGATATATTTAGTGTCTTGAAAATTCCGTTACGGAAGCTATTAGAATTAACGAACAGTGTAAGTGTTGTTTAATTATTTTTCCCATATTATAGCAAGTAATTCTTAATATTGCTTATGTATTCTTTAATCATTCATACAACTGAAACGGATTCATAAAAGATACTAACCATTGGTCATTAATCAAGACAAATTAAGTTTTAATTTAAAGAAATTAAAGCATTTATTTCACAAAATTGCACAATCAGAAGAAACAACTAACTACACAAAAATATTTCATATTTATTTTAGTTAACACTTTTCGCTTGCGTTGTACTATGATTTTTAATTCTGTATGCATTAACAAATTGAATATTTAAGACGATTGAAAAATTAGAAAATTATGGAATATTTATTTTCTTGCTACAAATGTTCGAGAAAATGAGAAATACACTAAGAAAATTCATTTAGAATCGTAAATATAGAAATAAAAATTATACATCGATCATTACATATGAAATTAAATTTAATTTTGTTATGTAAGAGATTCGGATCTTAAACAGACGAGGCACATTAATCTTATTATCACTTATGCGTACGTCCATCACTGCTTTCGTGCAATATATTTTTGTACTCGTAAATTAAATCTATAGCAAATATGAAAATTCCATATACGTTAATAACTTTAGTCGGTAAATATAAACTACGTATTCCATGAACCATAAGAAGCGAATATTAAACTAACTTCTTTGCATATTTAATAATTACTATAATAATATCATTATACGCATAATATACTTGAAGAAGTCTATTTAAGAAATTTTATTTTCTTCCACAGAATTGATAAGATGTTCCTCCTTGTCATATCAGGGTTCTTTACACTCCTATTTGTGTTGCATATCTTTACAAAATATGGGAGAATAGGATATTTTTCTAGTCGAATTGTGGGACCAAAAGCATATCCCATAATAGGAAATTTATATCATCTTCAAGTTGACAATGGTAAACTTCTCCGGAAATAATTTCATTGAAAAACTTTTATCCTTTAACTTTCATTTCATCGATGCAGTTTTACTCAATATAAACATTTAATCAATATTTCAGAACAATTATTAGAAAAACTTTGGAAAATGAATAAGGAATTTTCTCCAATTAACAGATTGTGGTCATTATTCTTTTCATTAATAACTATATTTGATCCGGAAGACGTCGAGGTAAATAATTTTAAGACAATAACAGAGTTAATTTAAATTTTTCTCTTTCTTTTACAATTTAAACGTTATCTGTCAAAATCATCTTATGAAAATCAGAATATATATATCTCTATCATAGATACTTTTGAAGAGTACGAAACATCTAGAAAAAACTATACCTTTAAAATTCTTACAACCTTGGCTTTCTACTGGATTAGTAACTGGTGCAGGTAACAGTGCGAACAAACATAAACTTAATATACTTGATAATACTTCACGACAAATGTTCCACTAAACAGGAGAAAAATGGCAACACCGACGAAAAATTTTAACGCCAACCTTTCATTTTAACATCCTTAAACATTTTGTTGTCACTTTTAACAAGGAGGCACAATATCTCGTAACATTGCTGAAAAAAGAAGGAAAAGAAGGATCGATTATCAAAGATTTACAGGAATTTTTACCTCTACATACTTTAAACGCGATATGCGGTTAGTTATATTAAATATAATTACACATTAATCTTTATAATAGACAAATTATTTACAAAGTTAATTTGTAGAAACTGCTATGGGAATCTCTTTAAGAGGAACGGGCGAATTTGAAACTAAATATCGCCATGCCGTTCATGATTTCGCCAGAATAGCGCTCTATAGGTAAGTATTAATTCTTATATTAGAAATAAATTCAATTTCCAATTAAATGGAATTAAATCTACAAAAATATGTATTATTCAATAGAATAGCAAGACCATGGTACCATTCCGATACAATATTTGCATTATCGCAACGTGGTAGGCAACAAAAGAAATTATTAAAAACGCTTCACGGTTTTTCGAAAAAGGTAAGTTTCTCATTTAAATGAGCAAATACAATTAATCTTTATATTGCGAAATTGTATCGATTTATTAAAATATTACTCTTATTTTAGATAATAGCAGAAAGGATACTATTTCACGAACGAACTAAGGGGAAATACTTACGAAATGTTGAAGAAATGAATGAGAATCAGATTTTTTACGAAAAAACCGACGAGAATAATATGAGTAATCGAACAGTTTAATAATGATAAGTCATATTCTCGGTATAAATATTAATCGAATAATTTGATAACAGATCCCGTAATCAATAAAAGACTGGCTTTGCTAGACCTACTCATAGCCGCTTCTCAGAATGATAATCAACTCGATCAAGATGGAATACGAGAAGAAGTCGACACATTTATGTTTGCGGTAGATTGTAATGTTAATTCCTTACGATTATTAACAAAAAATAATAATAATTTAGAACAAATATCTCCATAGGGTCACGATACTACGGCAATGGCGTTATGTTTTGCTCTGCTTCTTTTTGCAAAACACAAAGATGTTCAGGTGATATTTTCTTTCCAAGTATTTAACAATCTTCGATTGAAAGAGTCGCGTTATACATCTATAGTAAATAATAAATTATCTATTGATTTAAAGGAACGTATAAGAAATGAAGTGAAAACGGTTATGCAACAAAGTGATTGTAAACTGACTATTCCGATACTTCGAGAATTTTCATATTTGGAAAGATGTCTCAAAGAATCACTACGTTTATATCCAAGCGTTCATTTTATAACTCGATATATATCTCATGATCTGCAGCTGAGTATGTGATAAATTTATTTTTCATATAATAGAACGGTTTATCATTATCATCATATTAATATAAGTAATTATCAAATCATATTAGAATTAGTAATCATATTAATTTTTAGAGAATTATTTAATCCCAGCCGGATCAATATGTAATGTAAACATCTATAACTTACACAGAAATCCAAATATTTGGACAAATCCTGATGTTTTCGATGCCGATAGATTTTTACAGGAAAATACAAAAGGACGTAATCCTTATTCCTTCATTCCATTCAGTGCAGGACCAAGAAACTGCATCGGTAAAGCTTGCATGTAGTAATCGAAATTAGATCAAAATAAATGTATTATTCTTCTTTTTGTAGGGCAGAAATTCGCAATGCTTGAACTCAAACTTATGGTAGCTTACATATTGCACAACTTCTATTTGGAACCTGTAGATGAACTGGACGAAGCTAAAATGATAGCAGATATTACATTGCGCTCATCGCAACCACTTCGTGTCGAATTTATTCCTATAAAATGACTCATATCAAATATTCGATGATTTCAAGATGAAATAAATTGCAAATGCAACACAATCCATTTTTCCATTATTTCCTTACATTAATAATCTTTATATCTTTTATATCTTTACCTTAAATAACAAAAAAAATTTTTTACGTTCAAAACTTTTATTCATCATTCTGTTATATCGACAGATAGATTAAACTTATACAATTTCTATAAGTACTAGGCTAATATACAAAGTTCTACTTCGGAGCGTGTTAGAAAGTGTTTTTTTTAAATTAAAGAGAGAATTGAATATGTCACTAAGATGAAAAAATTTCAATTAATATGGGTGTTGATGCTAACGAGTCCAATAAGTAAGGAAAGAAAGAATGAAACTAACGGTGTAAAAAAAATTTATCTGAGCGAAAAAAATGCCAAAAAATGTTTAGTTTCAATTTTATATATACATATATATTTATATACAAAATATATTTCATATATATAATTTTTATAAATATAGGTATAGAATATAAATATACAATTACTTCCATTCTGCGTTTCACCCTATTATGAAATTATCAATAAATCATATTTCTAATAATCCTTTGACGCATGATGTCTATTATTGCTATAAAAAAATAATCACATTTACAAATATGGACATACCATTTTATAAAGACAGGGTTATAAATATTACAGAAATTTATCCGTACAGATCATTTATTTTGAACCTCTAAGCTGAATGAACGTACATAAACAGATGTAAGTATTTAGATAAAGAATACGTAATATAATAGTATGTAAACCATATATTTGCATCTTAAAGATTAGAAATATTTCGATTTTCTTACTTAACGTTCGTCCACCAGTATTGCAATCTAGGAACAATTGCAAACTATATGTCAGTGTCTTAAAGAAGCTATTAACGAGAAAATTAGAACGTGCGAATAATGTAAATGCAGTCCAATCATTTTTCCCAATTTATAGTTACACTTTGTCACAAGTAATAATTGACATCGCTACTGTATTCGTTAACCATTCGTACATCTGAAAAAGATACGGAGAAGATACAATTCTCGCATTGTAAAATCTGTATTCATCATTGACAAATACGCAACTTAAATTAAATTTAATTATGTAAAAAATTTTACGATCGTATTAAAACTCTAATTATATAAATATATTCTACATTAATTACGATAAAATATTTCGCATTAATTCATATATAAGTGATAATATTTTAATACGTCTTTTCTAACTACAAATACTGATAGATTTATCTCTCAAAAGACATTACAAAATTTTTAAAACTTATTTAAAATAAATCAATCTTGAACAATATCTACACTCTCGAATCTCAACCATTCATGCAATAATTAAATAAACAATACAATTTCGAAAAAAAGGTTATACATTATTTATTATATTATTAAATTAAGATTATATTGTCATTTGGGGGCTCAATATCTTATACGTAAGGACGCATAAATTCGTTTCTGCTTGTACTCATTTCATATTTGTACATTTCAAATATATAATTACCCAGTATGGCAAATACTCTTTGACAAATATAAAATGATGTATCGCAAGTATCGGACGAAGTAAATATTAGATAATTTCTCTATCATCTAATTTCTTTCTACATACAATCATCAAGAAAATTATATTCATATTGTACATTTATATATGAATACGATCGTATCTTTGAAAATGTTTATTCAATTAATTTTTCTTCTTTTACAGATATTATGTTCTTCACAATCTTATTGGGATTCTCTATACTTTTACTTGTATTGCACTGCTTTGTAAGATATAGAAGAGTGGGAAGAATATCCAATCGAATTCCTGGACTAAAAGCATATCTGATAACAGGAAATTTATATAAATTTTAACTTGACATTGGTAAGCTCAATCGGAAATAAAATTCGTCCAAACGAATTATCTTTTAACTTACAACTTTTCCAACTCGATGTAGTTGTCACTTAACATAACCATAATATAAACATAACGATTTTATGAATATTTTAGACCAAATTCTTGAAAAATATTGGAAAACAAATATCGAGTGTTATCCAATCCACAGAGTGTGGTACTTTTTCTTTTATTAATAACTGTATTACATTCGGAAGATGTCGAGGTAAATAATTTTAAGACAATAACACAGCAGATTTTCATTTCTTTCCTTCTTTTGCAATTTAAAAATTATCTGGCAACGTCATCTAACGAAAATCAGAATATATACATTTCGATCGTAGATACTTTTGAAGAGTACATCTAGAAAAAATTATAATTTACAAATTCTTACAACATTGTCTTTCCACTGGATTAATAAGTAGTGCAGGTATTAACTTTAACAAATATAAATTTAATATATTTGATAATATTTAACGTGAAGTGTTTTACTTAACAGGTGGAAAGTAGAAGCAGAGACGAAAAATTATGACATCAACCTTCCACTTTAATATTATTAAACATTTTGTCGCCACTTTTAACGAGGAGACACAGTATCTCCTAACATAATTAAAAAAGGAATGAAATGGAAGTCCGATTATAAAAGATTTTGAGGAACTTGTATCCGAACATACTTTATACGCGATATGCAGTTAGTTATATAAACTCTTTACACATTGAGCTTTATCGAAGAAAACTAGAATAATCAAACTCATTGGTAGAAACGACTATGGGAACCTCTTTAAAGGAGATGGGCGAGCTAGGATCTAAATATCGCCACGCCATTCATGATTTTGACAGAACGGTAATTAATAGGTAAGTATTAGTACTTTTATTAGAAATAAATTCAATTGTCAATTAAATAGAATTAAATCTACAAAAATATGCATCGTTTATTAGACTAGTAAGACATATTGGTTTCATACCCATACTATATTTGCATTATCGTAATATGGTAATCATAAAAGGAATTGTTAAAAACGCTTCATGGTTTTTCGAAAAAAGAAAGTTTTTCCTTTAAATGAGAAAATAAAATCAGTCCGAATATTGCGAAATTATATCGATTTCTTAAAAATTACTCTTATTTTAAATAATAGCAGAAAGGAAACTATTTCACATAGAAACTAATGTGAAATATTTACAAAATGTTGAAAAATGGATGAGAATCAGATTTTTCACGAAGAAAATAATAAAAGTAATCGTACAGTTTAATAATAATGAGTCATATTCTCGGTATTAATATTAATCGAATAATTTCATAACAGATCCAATATTCAAGAAAAGACTGGCTCTGCTAGACCTACTCATAGCCGCTTCTCTGAATGATAATCAACTAGATGAAGAAGGAATTCGAGAAGAATTCGAAACTTTCATGTTTGCGGTAGGTTGTAATATTAATTCCTTATGATTATTAACAAAAAATGACAATAATTTATGAAAAATATTTCCATAGGGATATGAAACTAGAGTAACGGCATTGTATTAGGTGGATTGGAAAGTAACGTCGTTTTTGCGCATGTCGATATTTGATTGTGATTAAAAATAAAAACCTGTTAAAAATTTGTTCGTTTGAATTTAATTTAAGAAAGCGACATTACTTTCCGGTCCACCTAATACTTTACTCAGTTCCTCTTTGCAAAGCACAATGCTTAGGTGATTTATTCATTCCAAAGATTTAACAAACTTCGATCAAAAGAAACGGGTTTTACATCTTTAGTTAATAACAAATAATCTATTAATTTATAGGAACTTATAAGAAATGAAGTGAAAACGGTTATGCAACAAAGTGATTGTAAACTAACTATTCAAATGGTTAGAGAATTTTCGTATTTGGAAAGATGTCTCAAAGAATCTCTTCGCCTATATCCAAGTGTTCATTTTATGACTCGTTATATATCTCAAGATCTGCAGTTGAGTATGTGATAAATTAATTTTTCACACAATTTAATGGTTTATCATTAACATCATATTAATATAAACAATTATCAAATCATATTCGAATAAATAATCATATTAATTTTTAGAGAATTATATAATACCTGCCGGTTCAATCTGTAACGTAAACATCTATAACTTACACAGAAATCCAAATATTTGGACAAATCCTGATGTTTTCGATACGGATAGATTTTTACCAGAAAATACAAAAGGACGTAATCCTTATTCTTTCATTCCATTCAGTGCAGGACCAAGAAACTGCATCGGTAAAGCTTGCATGTAGTAATCGAAATTAGATCAAAATAAATGTATTATTCTTCTTTTTGTAGGACAGAAATTCGCAATGCTTGAACTCAAACTCATAGTAGCTTACATATTGCACAACTTTTATTTGGAACATGCGGATGGACTGGACGACGTTAAAATAATGAAAGGTATTACTTTGCGCTTCTCAAAACAACATCGCGTTAAATTTATAATCATAAAATAACAGTACGTCACTAATGAGATAGTGTGCGTCCTTACGATAAAAAGTTAAAATGTATGAACTATATATATAAACGCCGAAGTTATTCTAATATAATTTTAGCATAATCACATCATTTTCTCTTATTATTTTTATTCTGTGTATATAAGCTTACTCTTTCCGAACAGCTGAAATGTTTGACGAATAAAATTTTATTTTTCGAAAATAATTTTAGCTTGAACTATCCATTGAACAAACCTGTTTTACAAAACTCGTTTTATATCTACGTCAAAGATTCTTCAATAATAAAGAAATGTCACATTACGAGCGATCAATGAAAGTATTGTCTATTTATTCTTTTCCATTTTGTAGTTATTCATTGTGTTGATACTTACGTGCTTCCCTCAACTGTTCGCAGTACCTTCTCCGAAGGGTCATTTATCACTATTAGAAATGTCTTCCTTTTGTAACTCATTACATACTCGCTAAGGAAACGTATAGATAAAAAACACGTGACCACATATGTCCGAGTTTAAGTACTTTTAATCGAGTTTCTAGTTTCCGACAATATATCTAGTTACTAATATTTTAAAACAAATGCTTCAAAAACTTTAGAACCTGGATAAAGAGTTTTACGTGATATTTCGAAGAAAATCAGAAAAAAACTCGACATCTCGGAAACCTTGCCCCTTCTTTTTTTACTTTACATTTCTCCTTCTGTGTCAAATTCTGCAAATCCTCTTATCGCTGAATCCATAATGTAAAGATTATCAGACTGTAACGACTATAGAATACTCGATAATATTTTTCAATCGACAATATTTTTCGAATGCGAAAGAAAGATAAAAGAATAAAATTAAAGTGTAAGAAGGTAAGTGTAATTTTGATTATTTGAAATTAAATATCGAGAAGAGTAAATTGTCTGATAATAATTAAATGAATTTATAGATATCTGTGTTATCTTTTATATTTGCATTAAACCTAATCTTTTTTGTATTGTTTGACTCTTTCTATAATTTGTATAATTATTTCTTTAAGAAGAAATATAAATTTAGAAATGGGACGGCATACTACTGCCCATTCCTCTATGAATAATACATTTTCTATCTTCTTGAATGTAAAAATAAAGGAAAGTTATAATATTGAGAAACTACCACCATTAATTTCAAAAAGCAGCAGACTGGAAAAAAAGGAAAGAACATATATGTATAGGATAACATAAAAGTGACTTTTGTAATGACAGCTTTTATATTTTATTTTATAATCGTGTACAAATACGATTTATTTTATCAGGCGTTAGAATAATTTAATCCTTTATGCTTATCTATAATATATAATCCAAATTAAACTTGTATCGTTATTTTTCTCTTCGAAAATGCAATTAGATAAGAAAAACTGTTTCGCTTTTTTTTTATCAAATATAAAAGTACAATCAATTATAACCCAATGATGAAACTAATTTAACCGATTTGGTTTCTTGTTGCTAAAAATTCAAAAAATGAAGAGAAATATATGAAGCATAGAATATATTTAGTGATGTAATAAAGAAAGATGAACAATATAGTAAACCTCCCCATCTCCCACTCACTCTCTTCTCTCTCTCTCTCTCTCTCTCTCTCTCTCTCTCTCTCTCTCTCTCTCTATCTGTCTCTCCCATTTATGATTTCTTTCTTTAATTAAATTATTCGAATATCAATTCTTCAAGTATGACCAAGCTTAAACGTACATTATATTCTTAACAGAAAAAGTTCAACTTCGATATATATTGTATTCAAAAATTTTTTTCTGAACATAGTGTTTAAAAGAGACTCAAGAAATCATAAGAAAGTAATTAACGTTATACGAGATACTATTATCTTGTTTTTCTTTGATTAATTATCATATTTAGGTAAAATTATGCGACACGATGGTATAAAAAAAAGGGATAGTATAATATAAGTATCGTGTTTTGTCAGAATTTCTCATTCAACGTTCAGACGCTCTACCGATCGAATCACTTATATATTCAGTGTCTTGAAAACTCTGTTACTAAAGATATTAGGACCTACGAAGAAAGTAAGTGTTGTTTAATTATTTTTCCCATTATATAGTTAAACATTATCGCAAGTAATCCTTAATAATGCTCTTGTGTTCGTTAATCATTCATAGAGCTAAAACGGATACGTAAAAGGTACTAATCATTGATCATTACTCAAGTCAAATTAAATTTTAATTAAATAATTGGTTAATTTAAAGTTTTTTATTCAGAAAACTGTACGATTAGATTAAACTACTAACTACTAAAACTAAACTACACAAATATATTCTATATTTTACACGTCAACATTTTTGGTTTGCGTTGTACGATGATTTTTAATTTTGTATACATTAAAAAATTGAATATTTAAGGTGATTGAAAAATTAGAAATTTATGCAATATTTATTCTCTTGCTTCAACTGTTCGTGAAAATAAGAAATATACTAATAAAATTCATTTAGAATCGCAAATATGGAAATAAAAATTATACATCGGTCATTACATTTGAAATTAAATATAATTTTGTCATGTAAGAGATTCATATCTTAATCAGACGAAGCACGTCAATCTTATTACCACTTATGCGTAAGTCCATCACTGCTTTCGTGCATTTTTGTACTCGTAAATTAAATCTATAGCAAATATGAAAATTCTATAAACGTTAATAACTTTTGTCGGTAAATATAAACTACGTATTCTATGAACCACAAGAAGCGAATATTACAGTATTTGTCTGACATCTAACTTCTTTGCATATTTAATAATTACTATAATAATATTATAATATTATAATATTATAATAATATTATAATATTATAATAATATTATAATATCATTATACGTATAATATAATTGAAGATATTTATTTAAGAATTTTTTTCTATTCCACAGAATTGATAAGATGTTCTTCCTTATCATATCAGGGTTCCTTACAATACTATTTTTATTGCATTACTTTACAAGATATGGCAGATTAGGAAATATTTCTAGTCGAATTGCTGGACCTAAAGCATTTCCCATAATAGGAAATTTATATCATTTTCAAGTTGACAATGGTAAATTTTGTCGGAAATAATTTTATTTAAAAAATTTTATCTGTTAAGTTCCTATTCCTCGATGGAGTTGTTATTCAATATAAATATTTGGTCAATATTTCAGAACAAGTACTAGAAAAACATTGGAAAATTAATAAGGAATTTTCTCCAATTAACAGAATGTGGTCATTATTCTTTTCATTAATAACTATAATTCATCCGGAAGATGTCGAGGTAAATAATTATAAGACAACAATAGAGTGATTTTTTATTTCTCTCCTTCTACTGAAATTTAAACATTATTTGTGAACATCATCTTATGAAAATCAGAATATATATATTTCAATCGTAGATACTTTTGAAGAGCACAAATCTAGAAAAAAATATTCCTTACAAATTTTTACAACCTTGGCTTTCCACCGGATTAATAACTAGTGCAGGTACTAATTTTAACAAATATAAATTTAATATATTTGATAATATTTTAAATCAAATGTTTCACAAAACAGGTGAAAAGTGGGAACATCGACGAAAAATTTTAGCACCAACATTTCACTTTAATATCCTTAAACATTTTGTCATCACTTTTAACGAGGAGGCACAATATCTCGTAACATTACTGAAAGAGGAAGGAAAAGGAGGACCCATAATTAAAGATTTACAGGAATTTTTACCTGTACATACTTTAAACGCGATATGCCGTTAGTTAAATCAAATATCATTACTCACTGATCTTTATAATAGAAAAATAATTTACAAAAGTTAATTTGTAGAAACAGCTATGGGAATCCCTTTAAGAGGAACGGGCGAATTTGAAGCTAAATATCGCCATGCTGTTCATGATCTCGGCAAAATAGCGGTCTATAGGTAAGTATTAATTTTTTATTAGAAATAAATTCAGTTGCCAATTAAATGGAATTGAATCTACAAAAATATGTATTATTCATTAGAATAGCAAGACCATGGTACCATTCCGATACAATATTTGCATTATCGCAATATGGTAGGCAACAAAAGGAATTGTTGAAAACGCTTCATGGTTTTTCAAAAAAGGTAAGTTTTTCATTTAAATGAGCTAACACAATTAATCTGAATATTGCGAAATTGTATCGATTTATTAAAATATTACTCTTATTTTAGATAATAGCAGAAAGGATACTATTTCACGAACAAACTAAGGGGAAATATTTACAAAATGTTGAAGAAATGGATGAAAATCAAATTTTTTCCGAAGAAACCGACGAAAATAATAAAAGTAATCGAACAGTTTAATAATAATGAGTCATATTCTCGGTATTAATATTAATCGAATAATTTCATAACAGATCCAATATTCAAGAAAAGACTGGCTCTGCTAGATCTACTCATAGCCGCTTCTCTGAATGATAATCAATTTGATGAAAAAGGAATACAAGAAGAAGTCGACACTTTTATGTTTGCGGTAGGTTGTAATATTAACTCCGTACAATTATTAACGAAAAATAGAAATAATTTAAAACAAATATCTCCATAGGGACACGATACTACGGCAATGGCGTTATGTTTTGCTCTCCTTCTTTTTGCAAAACACAACGATGTTCAGGTGATATTTTCTTTCCAAGTATTTAACAAACTTCGATCGAAAGAGTCGAATTAGACATCTGTAGGAAATAATAAATTATCTATTAATTTATAGGAACGTATAAGAAATGAAGTGAAAACGGTTATGCAACAAAGTGATTGTAAACTAACTATTCAAATGGTTAGAGAATTTTCGTATTTGGAAAGATGTCTCAAAGAATCTCTTCGTCTATATCCAAGTGTTCATTTTATGGCTCGTTATATATCTCAAGATCTGCAGTTGAGTATGTGATAAATTAATTTTTCACACAATTTAATGGTTTATTATTAACATCATATTAATATAAACAATTATCAAATCATATTCGAATAAATAATCATATTAATTTTTAGAGAATTATATAATACCTGCCGGTTCAATCTGTAACGTAAACATCTATAACTTACACAGAAATCCAAATATTTGGACAAATCCTGATGTTTTCGATGCGGATAGATTTTTACCAGAAAATACAAAAGGACGTAATCCTTATTCCTTCATTCCATTCAGTGCAGGACCAAGAAACTGCATCGGTAAAGCTTGCATGTAGTAATCGAAATTAGATCAAAATAAATGTATTATTCTTCTTTTTGTAGGGCAGAAATTCGCAATGCTTGAACTCAAACTCATGGTAGCTTACATATTGCACAACTTCTATTTGGAACCTGTGGATGAACTGGACGACATTAAAATGATAGGAGATATTATGTTGCGTTCATCGCAACCACTTCGTGTCAAATTTATACCTATAAAATGATTCATATCGAATATTCGATTTTTTCAAGATGAAATAAATTGCTAATACAACATAATCCGTTTTTCCATTATTGACTTACATTAATAATCTTCAGATCTTTTATATCTTTATCTTACATAACAAAAAATATTCTTTGCGTTCAAAACTTTTATTCATCAAATTGCTGTATCGATAGATTGGTTGAACTTGCACAATTTCTATAAATATTAGGCTAATATATGAATATTAGGCTAATAATATATGTCATGGCTTGTTAGAAAGTATATTTTTAATTTAAAAAAATAACTGAATATGTCACTTAGATGAAAGATTTTAACTGATACCGTTGTCTGTGCTAACGAATCCAATAAGTAAGGAAAGAAAGAATGAAACTAAAGGTGTACAAAAAATTTATCTGACCGAAAAAAATGGCAAAGAATATTTAGTTTCAATTCTATATATACATATATAATATCTTTTATTGATTATGGGAGGTGATAAACGAAAATATGTTTCTCTGTGAACAAAGAAACGACAATTTACGTTTATTATTCACACTGTTTAATTTTTATACCACACTCCCCTGTTACTTCTCTCTTCTACGTTCTATTTCTAACTGCTCGTTTCTCTCCCAAATCTTAACGGCTCGATTTGTAGGTAACAAAAGAATTTGTAGATAACAAAAACAATGGAAGGCCGAAACATGAGACGCGCGGCCAATCTACCTGAAGAAAGTATACTTTCTTTACACATATATATTTATATACAAAATATATTTCATATATATAATTTTTATAAATATAGGTATATAATATAAATATACAATTACTTCCATTCTGCGTTTCATCCTACTATAAAATTATCAATAAATCATATTTCTAATAATCCTTTAACGCATGATGTCTACCATTGCTATAAAAAATATTTACATTTGAAAGATAATCACATTTACAAATAACCTTTGGACATACCATTTTATGAAGATAGGGTTATACAAACTTCATAAACTTATTCGTATACGTCATTTGTCTTTCCCTCTAAGCCGAATGAATGTGCATAAACAGATGTTAGATAAAGATTACGTAACATAGTGGTATGAAAACCACGTATTTGCTACTTAACGTTTGTATAAAATTATTACAATCTAGAAGCAATTGCAATCTATTTCCCAGTGTCTTAAAAAGACTATTACCGAGAACATCAGAACATGCGAGTGCTGCACAATCATTTATTCCAATTTATAGATACACTTTGTCACAAGTAATAATTGACATAGCTGCTGTATTCGTTAACCATTCGTACATCTGAAAATGATAAGGAGAACATAGAATTCATGCATCTTAAAATCTATATTGATCATTGACATACGCAAGTGAAATTAAATTTAATTGAGGAGAAAACGTATAAAACTTTTGCTTCCTAAAATTGCACGTTCGGACAAAAACTATAATTATATAGATATATTCTACATTAATTACGATAAAATATTTCGCATTAATTCATATATAAGTGATAATATTTTAATACGTCTTTTCTAACTACAAATACTGATAGATTTATCTCTCAAAAGACATTACAAAATTTTTGAAACTTATTTAAAATAAATCAATCTTGAACAATATCTGCACTCTCGAATCTCAACCATTCATGCAATAATTAAATAAACAATACAATTTCGAAAAAAAGGTTATACATTATTTATTGGTTATTAAATAAAGATTATATTGTCATTTGGGGGCTCAATATCTTATGCGTAAGGTCGCGTAAATTCGTTTCTGCTTGTACTCATTTTATATTTGCACATTTCAAATATATAATTACTCAGTATGGCAAATACTCTTTGATAAATATAAAATGATGTATCGCAAGTATCGGACGAAGTAAATATTAGATAATTTCTCTATCATCTAATTTCTTTCTACATACAATCATCAAGAAAATTATATTCATATTGTACATTTATATATGAATACGATCGTATCTTTGAAAATGTTTATTCAATTAATTTTTCTTTTACTTGTATTGCACTGCTTTGTAAGATATAGAAGAGTGAGAAGAATATCCAATCGAATTCCTGGACTAAAAGCATATCTGATAACAGGAAATTTATATAAATTTTAACTTGACATTGGTAAGCTCAATCGGAAATAAAATTCGTCCAAACGAATTATCTTTTAACTTACAACTTTTCCAACTCGATGTAGTTGTCACTTAACATAACCATAATATAAACATAACGATTTTATTAATATTTTAGACCAAATTCTTGAAAAATATTGGAAAACAAATATCGAGTGTTATCCAATCCACAGAGTGTGGTACTTTTTCTTTTATTAATAACTGTATTACATTCGGAAGATGTCGAGGTAAATAATTTTAAGACAATAACACAGCAGATTTTCATTTCTTTCCTTCTTTTGCAATTTAAAAATTATCTGGCAACGTCATCTAACGAAAATCAGAATATATACATTTCGATCGTAGATACTTTTGAAGAGTACATCTAGAAAAAATTATAATTTACAAATTCTTACAACATTGTCTTTCCACTGGATTAATAAGTAGTGCAGGTATTAACTTTAACAAATATAAATTTAATATATTTGATAATATTTAACGTGAAGTGTTTTACTTAACAGGTGGAAAGTAGAAGCAGAGACGAAAAATTATGACATCAACCTTCCACTTTAATATTATTAAACATTTTGTCGCCACTTTTAACGAGGAGACACAGTATCTCCTAACATAATTAAAAAAGGAATGAAATGGAAGTCCGATTATAAAAGATTTTGAGGAACTTGTATCCGAACATACTTTATACGCGATATGCAGTTAGTTATATAAACTCTTTACACATTGAGCTTTATCGAAGAAAACTAGTATAATCAAACTCATTGGTAGAAACGGCTATGGAAACCTCTTTAAAGGAGATGGTCGAGCTAGAATCTAAATATCGCCACGCCATTCATGATTTTGACAGAACGGTAATTAATAGGTAAGTATTTGTACTTTTATTAGAAATAAATTCAATTGTCAATTAAATAGAATTAAATCTACAAAAATATGCATCGTTTATTAGACTAGTAAGACATATTGGTTTCATACCCATACTATATTTGCATTATCGTAATGTGGTAATCATAAAAGGAATTGTTAAAAGGCTTCACGGTTTTTCGAAAAAAGAAAGTTTTTCCTTTAAATGAGAAAATAAAATCAGTCCGAATATTGCGAAATTATATCGATTTCTTAAAAATTACTCTTATTTTAAATAATAGCAGAAAGGAAACTATTTCACATAGAAACTAATGTGAAATATTTACAAAATGTTGAAAAATGGATGAGAATCAGATTTTTCACGAAGAAAATAATAAAAGTAATCGTACAGTTTAATAATAATGAGTCATATTCTCGGTATTAATATTAATCGAATAATTTCATAACAGATCCAATATTCAAGAAAAGACTGGCTCTGCTAGACCTACTCATAGCCGCTTCTCTGAATGATAATCAACTAGATGAAGAAGGAATTCGAGAAGAATTCGAAACTTTTATGTTTACGGTAGGTTGTAATATTAATTCCTTATGATTATTAACAAAAAATAACAATAATTTAGGACAAATATCTACATAGGGTCACGATACTACGTCAATGGCGATGTGCTTTGGTCTACTATCTTTTGCAAAGCACAATGCTCAGGTGATCTTTTCATTCCAAGGATTTAACGAATTTCGATCAAAAGAAACGAGTTTTACATCGTTAATACATACAGTAAATAATAAATTATCTATTGATTTATAGGAATGTATAAGAAACGAAGTGAACACGGTTATACAACAAAATGATTGTAAACCGATTATTCCGATGCTTCAAGAATTTTTGTATTTACAAAGATGTCTTAAAGACACTTCGTTTATATCCAAGCGTACATTCTATATCTCCTTATATATCTCAAGATCTGCAATTGAGGATGTTTTATATTTACATTTGACACAATTTTACGTTTTATCATTAAAATCGAATAAGCAATTATATTGATTTCTAGAGAATTATTTAATCCCAGCCGGCTCAATCTGTAACGTAACATTTATAATTTACACAGAAATCCGAATATTTGAAAAAATCCTGATGTTTTCGATGCAGATAGATTTTTACCGGAAAATGCAAAAGGACGTAATCCTTATTCCTACATTCCATTCCGTGCAGGACCAAGAAACTGCATCGATAAAACGTTGAATCTAGAAATCGAAATTAAATGAATAGAAATGTATTATTTTTCTTTTTGTAGGTTAGAAATTTGCAATGCTTGAACTCAAACTCTTGGTGCAACTCAAAAATATTGGACAAATTCTATTTGGAACCTGTATCCGCAGGAATTGAACGACATTAAAATGATAGGAGCTTTTATTTACTTACTTTTATTTAATTACTTTGCGCTCGTCGAAACGACTTCGCGTTAAATTTATATCCATAAAAAACAATACGTCATCTTTACTAATGAGATAGTGTACGTTGTTTCGATAAAAAGTTAAAATGTATGAACTATAGATATAAACGACAAAGTTATTATAATATAATATTAGCATAATCACATTTTCTTCTCTTATTATTTTTATTTTGTCTATATAAGCTTACTTTTTCCGAAGAGCTGAAATATTCGACGAATAAAATTTTATTATTCAAAAATTATTTAGTCTGCAACTACCCAGTGACAAACCTGTTTTAAAAACGCATTCTATATCTGCGTCAATGGTTCATCAGTATTGGTTCATCAGTAAGAAATATCACATGGTTCATCAGTAAGAAATATCACATTACGATCGATCAATGAAAGTATTGTCGATCTATTCCTTTCCATTTTATAGTTATTCATTGTGTTGACACTTACGTGCTTCCCTCAATTGTTCCCAGTACTTTCTCCGAAAGGTCATTTATCATTATAAGAAATATCATCCCTTTGTAACTCGTTACATACTCGCTATAAAAACGTATAGATAAAAAACTCGTAGCCACATATGTCCGACCTTAGGCACTTTTAGTCGAATTTCTAGTTTTCGATAATATGTCTTGTCGGGCAATAAATAAACAGTGAAAGTAGACTTTTAGGCGTGACGAGCCAAGGATGTCTGCCGCCTAACCTTGGAATATCCATTGACACTCTCTACTTTACACGATAACTAGAACAAAAAGACACACATGGAATGTTGAAACATTCCAATGAACTATCCTGACTCACCACCGACTTATGAGGATCTATACCTTCCCTGTCTATACTTAGATCATATTACAACTCCACCCTTTTTATTCACTTTCTTAATTTTACTATACCCTTCGCGGATAATTCTAAAAACGCAAAATGTTAGTCAAATTACATCTTTCAGACTGACGATATCTAGACTTTCGAATCTTATTAAATATTGTTAACACTTCTTTAAAAATAGACAGCACAACTAACTACTCTTCATTACACAGAACACATCAACATTTATGTATTACTTAATTCAACAGATACACTGTGATAGCTTCAATTATAGCGCAATATTTATTATCGCGTATCTACCTCGCAAATTTCACGGGATTCTTTAAAAGAACGCGCGTTCTCCTATTAATTTATGGGAACGTGGTGAGCGATATTTGGTTAACAGTACCCTAGTCTAATGCTGCCACCCTTATTCATGCGACCAGTAGGTCTACAGCTCTGACAATGATGAGAAGGGGAAATTGTTCGTGCAAATGAATTAACATCGCTGATTCGGTTAGAGACGCGTATCGAGAAACGCTCTCCTAGTTGCCACCTTATTTCGCAACATAATTTTGAACCTTCGAGCCGAATCCTGGCGACATTGATCTTGTGAACAGTCTAAAGAGAAAGTAAATTACCACGTAGGAAAAGCAGACACCTCACGAAGTCACCCATCTTTTACAATGAAATGCGAGACGATAAACGAAGTCGCAGCAGAATAGACCTGCAGCCTTCGTACTCATCATACTGCTAGCACTACACCTCTTAAGAAAGGTTGTTTATTTTTGAGCTTCTTGTAGCTTTTTTATTTTATTACACAATGCGGAAGACTTTGCCGCATGAAGTTTAAGTGACCTCAAAAACAAACGGCGGTTTTTCGAAGATTAAATAACGTGATTCAAGAATGGGATTGAAACTTATCGTAATGATGGAGACATAGTCAAATTAAGTGTGAAATTGAAAGACATGTTAACAGTCTTCACCAATTTTATTGAAATTCAAAATACATTATTATGCATCAACTCAGAGGCGGAAGAGCTCTTAGAAGAAAAATATAATATTGGTAATGATTTTCTAAACACGCAGGAATCCGCGGAAAGGATAATAAAACAAACAGAATCGCAAACGGGAGAACATCGTTCAATAAGAAACGAAATTTACAACGCAATTACCATCTACTATTAGGTCGGTGCGTATGAAATGTCGGATTTTCTTTAAATGTAAACGTTTGTCTCCCTGTTTTTGTTATGTTTTTGTTTTTGACATAGCCTGGTTTATAGTCGTATTGTCTATTGGCAGAATCACATTTCAGCAAAGAAGATTTTCTCAAAAGTGTTCCCTTTTGTTATTTGCTTTGAATTTTGCACCGATATGAATTCAACCGATATTCACGCAATATAAACCAGGCGTTTGGGGAGAATACTGTGAACGATCGAAAAGTGCAGCGTTGGTTTGAAAAATTTCGATCTAATGATTTTTCCCTGCAAAATGAACCGCGTGGAAGATCCGAAACGTTTATGAAAAATGATGCTCTGAAAGCATTGGTGGAAATAAATCCAACTGTTTCTTCAGAGGAACTTGCTGCCAGAATGGAAATTGACCATACAACAATATTGCGACATCTTTCTGAAATTGGCGTGGGGAAAAAAGTGGATAAGTGGATACCGCACGAACTAACCGAGCGAAATAAGCTGGATCGCTTGAACGTATGCTCATCATTGCTAATCCGATTTAATCGAGATCCATTTTTCGATCGGATCATTATTTGTGATGAAAAATGGGTTCTTTACGATAATAGGAAAAGGTGTGCTCGGCGACTTGATAGAAATGAGGCTTGTGCTCATACTCCACGGCCATCACTTCATCCACGGAAAATTTTAATCACAGTTGGGTGGAATGAGACTGGAGTAATACACTACTCATTCCTTCGAACTGGAATGACAATTACAGCCGAAAAGTATTGCCAGTACATTGAAGAAATGAAAAATTGAAAATTATACGCTCATTACTTGTTAATCGGCATGGCCCAATACTTCTTCACGACAACGCTCAGCCGCATACATCGTACAAAATAATTGCGAAATTAAATGAATTAAAATATGAAATTTTGCAACACCCACCTTATTCACCGGATCTTTCGCCAACTGACTTTTATTTATTTAAACATTTAGAACTCTTTTTACGGGCTAAACAGTACGAAAATGAAGACAGTCTGAAAAATGCCATATCAGAGTTCATTGATTCTAAAGATCAGAATTTTTTCAAGATAGGCATCTATGCATTAAAATCTCGTTGGGAAAAGTGTATTGAAGTCAATGGAGCATATTTTGATTAAATAAACAGCTTTTGGAAAAAGATATGCAGTTTAATATATTCACTTAAGAATCTGACATTTAATTCGCACCAACTTAATAATTTAAACGGTAATCGAAGTACAAAGTTACCAGAAATCTCACTGCCTACCTTCAGCGGTCAATATGAAGATTAGCCCGCTTTCGCGAATAAATTCAAATTTGCCATTCACGACAATCGAACTCTAGAATCGGTTAAACAATCTAAAGTCGTTCCTACAGAACGAACTCTCGTCAATCACTTCATCTATAGACATTATCGTATCCAATTATGCTCTCGTTTGGTTAATGTAGAATAAGTATTACAATCTGCCACACCTAATAGTAGAGAAGCATTTAAAAGCGATTTGCGACTTGCCAAAAATGCAAAGGGCATCGTAACCCGAGTTAGCCCATTTCGTGAACACTGTTCTAGAAGTTCATCTAAAGTTCTAGATCAATCAGGTCATTAAGGATAATTTCTTACGATAACATACTTATTTATCTACTAACTTCGCATCTTGACAAAAATACGTATACAATGTGATGATCCCTAATAGAGTGCCTCTCCTCTATCGAGGAGCAATTTTTCAAATTCTTACATGGTAGGAGAAACTCACTCCTACAGACGCACTCAAACTCACAGCCGGCTAATGAGCAAAGGTAGGCTGCTACGGCTATCAAAAGCATTTCGACGCTTAATAAGTGAGGAGATTTTCCCGCTTTCCGAAACCTGCAATCGGACTAACAACTTCGCTGAAATGAACGTGAATCTCGCGCACAATCTCAGCAAGCCTTCTCCACGGCCATAAAGGGCCATTTTCTCTGCAGGATGGCCATTTGCGGATCAGGCCACCCTCTATTTCGGTATGCCAAGTTAATAGTAGCAACTATCAAGTAAAGTCGCGAGATCGTCGAAAAGCCGATGCTTTGCCAAAATTGTCTCCATGGGAAACACGACGTGAATAAATGTAAACTTGGATCTTGTCGATGATGCAACCTCTTACATAACACATTACTTAATGATGAAACCACATTTGTGTGGTCTTTGTATGATCTGACATTGCGAGTCTGCCAACTGC